CTGTAATCACTTCTCTTGTTCCACTGTCTCATCTTCTTGAGAGGCATCTTCTTGCCTCTTTTTACTACTTTGATCCTCTCCCCTTCGTTCTCATTCTATCTTTCTGTTTCCTACCATCTCTGTTCCCAGGTTCCACCCCCAGACTCCAGCAGAAGGGTGTAATTTCTCAGTTTCCTGTTCTTCTATTAGCTATGCCACTGGTGAATCAGCCTAATTGCCAAGAAAAACACGCTCCTGTCATTTGTGAATTTGGTTTACAAATCTGATTGAGTGCTAGGAACAAATATGAAGTAGAATGAATATGTAGAAATTAGCTAGCCCCTGTGAGCAGCACTAAGGCTGCTCATTCAGACAGAGATATCCGGTAGGAAATCACAGGGTGCATATCCTGGTGTGGCGTTCCATAGCTCACAGCCAAAGTGGGATCTGGCTCTGCAGACTATTGAAACTGGCTGCTCTTCCAGAAATGCAGATACAAAAGTCTCAACAGATCTGTGGGTGTTTAACAGCAAACAGAACAAAGAGAACTGCTGTGTTCAAGTGAGGCGCTTGGCTAAGAGCAGCAGCTCTCCCGTACAGCAACTCAGTGACACAACTGACAAAGAAGCAATGTGTCAGGTGATAAACATGGAGAGACACTGGAGAGAAACTTGTCAAAGTCCCCAGGAAGTAGAATACGGTGGCACAAGTGGTTCAGATGTCAGCATCAGAGCCAGGAGCCACTGGGCTCATCAGTGCTCTTCCCACTGAGCAACCTCCACTCACTCACTGGTGAAATCAGGAAAATGCCATTTGCTCTTCCTTCCAGGAATATTGTTAGTTAATTAATTAATTCTTAATTAAGTTTGCAAAATACAAATATCTTCAATTGAAAGAAACTGTAAAAGTGAAATTATTGTTAGGAGGATAAGAACTCCAGCCTGGATAAAACCTTTAGGTGTATTTTTTCATTAATGCTAATGGAAATTAACAGCTTAATGCAAGCCAAGCTGAAAGTAGATAATTTACATTTGCATCTTAACTATATTTGGTTCATTAGTTATTTAGGATCACTGATGGGTGTGGGAAGGTGAGTCTCAGGACTTCAATCCATAGTTTTTGAGTGGTCCTATAGGCACAAATGCATCCCAGTAAAATCTGTACAGTTGTGTTGGGGAGGATGAAACAGGGAAACCTTATGAATATGATTGTTTAGCAAAAGATTCTGAAAATATGAAACCTAGGATCAAAATAGAAATGAAAACTAGCTTTAAGCTATAGGATACTGAGTGTTAGTTACTATATAAGCAAAGAACAATAGACTAGCCAGCTGAAAGAGAATCCCTGTTGATGAAACAATACCCTTCTGCAGATAGCGAATGCAAAGGTCAAGCAGCAAGAGAAGAATTTGAAAAGTAGCTTTTAGAGTTTAAAATGTAACACTGTGTGGTAATGTGGTAGTTCTTGTAGGCTACATGTAAATCCTTTACAATGTGTGTCATGTAGTGGTCGGTTACTGGGAATTAGAATATTCATTATAGAAAAAGGTATAATGTAACAAGAACTTGGCACTCTTAAGCTCTCTCCCCCCCTCTCTTACTCCCTTCTACTTTCTCTCTCCCCTTTCCACTCTCCCTCTCCCTCCCTGACCACATGTACACAGTGTCTGGTGGTGGAAACGGGTCTCTCCCTCCCTCTACTCAAATAATAAACTGCTTGTACCTGAACAGCTTAACCCTGGAGAAGTCTCTCACCACGACTGTGTGTTACATCTATGAGTTGTTATGACAGTCCTCTCCTTCCAGCAGCACACCTGGCAGCATGCAGAACGTGCTTTGCCAAAGGGACACACCAACCTCACAGAGAACACGAGACAGCAACCAGAAGAGGCCAAAGACTCATCCAGAACAGAAACCTGGAGACTATTTAGGGAGGACAAAGGGAGAGAGGCACACGTGGTGTTCACATCTAACTCCAGCCCACAATTGCAATTCTGAGAGCTTCTGCTGCACCCTGGACATGCCCAGGTATGCTGGAGATCCCAGCTTTCCATGGACACAGACAGAATTTTCCTTCAGTTACATCCAGTTGCCTGTTCAGTCTTGACAGGCACAGAGCTGGCACCTCCTGCCTTACGCTGCAGCCCTGGTGGGGAGGGTGTCCCCCCACACAGGGACACAGAAAGCAGCTGTACCAGCACCTCTGAACAACAGCAGAGCAGGAGGACCACTTCCTGCAGTTTCATGTGGATGGAGCTGTGTTACCACATGGGAGCTGTTCCTGAGGGATGTCAAATCCTCCCAGGGGATCAACCACCTCACCCACAAACACGAGGGTCCAGCCTGTCATTTCCCACACCACGTGGAGGAGATACGGTATACCAAATCTCAGGTGAGCATTTTAATGCTAGCCTAGGTGGTGGTTTCTGTCTTGGCCTTTCCTGAAGCCCAAATGATGTGTAATTCAGGAGAGAGAGAAGTGGAACAGCCCAGCCCAGGACCCAGAGAACCCCACGAGCCTCTCGACTCCCCCTCACCACATGGGAGCACATGACATGCAGACACCTTTACCAGGCAGGCAGGGTGACCACACCAGCAGCTCAAAGCCTGAATTCCTCCTGCCAGTCTGAGCTCTCTGTGTTTCACACCTGAAGCCAACTTCCTTTGCCCCATGGCCAGGGGAATTCCTCTTCTACCACAGCAATCAGACAGAACACAGCAAGTAGAGGCGTAAAGGAAACCACCTTTAAATGTAAAGATACTCCTTTCCCCCACATTAAGATGTTGTTTGTGTTTGGTAAGACCAAGGGCAGCAAGGAAACAATAAAGTTTACAGGAACGTTGTGCTAAACACAAGGAACAAACCAGAAATTTCAAGGGAAGCCTCCAGAAATTCCCTCCCTCAAATCACACACTTTGAGAGTGTTGCTTATTTAGTGAACATATGAACAGGATTAGATTTTCAACCACTGACAGGGGCTTTTATTTTTCCTTCTAAAATGCAGAAACTCAAAGCATATTTTTTTGTTACCTGTAGCATACTTTTCATTCTATTTTAATTCCAAAGAATGAGGGGCCAAAGTTGTGCACAACAGGAATTGTGGAAATTTAGAATAATGTGTGCCCTCTATGCTAAATAACATCTGAGGAGATTCTAGAGTTAATGACTTCTGCATTTTCAAATATGATAACAGCAAAAGCTGCATAAGTCAGAGCAGAATATATATATTTTACTAAGGTATAATTACAGGAAAGTCACTTTTTTGCTAGAGTGATTTACCACACCAATTTATGCCTTTACCCTTAATTAATCTGTCTGAGAAAGATGTCACTTGTTGATGAATAAGATAATCACCAGATTTTGCAGGCTAGGATAGACTGACAATGGCAAAAAGAATTCCTTGTGCCTCCTCACCCAAACACAGTCACCTGTTCTTTGCTAAGAAAACCCACATCAAGCAAGCTGTGTGTGAGGCTGTGGAGCAGGGACACGGTCAGGCACAAACTTCTTCCATGAACAAACGTTGGGGTGAGACACTGGAGGTGTCAGAGACTGTTTTTGTGTTTGGGCCCAGCTGTTTATTCTTCCTTATCTACATTCCATATTTACATTCACCTAATATTACCCAAAAACCCTAGAAAAAGAAGATCAAGAAGGAGAAAGAGCCACCACCCTAAATCCTCCATCTTGTATTACACTTACTAATATAGCTAAAACTGCAAACTGTAACTTTCTCACACAGTGACTTAATATAATTCTATCTAACTTACACATTCATATTCTCAGCTTCTCCACTTAATTTTAGAAGCTTTCTCCATGGTCTTAGGTTAAACTCAGTGTTCTCTTGAGTTCTTAGGTTAAACTCAGTGTTCTCTTGAGTGTCTGAGCCTGTCAGCACAGATAAAGGAATATTTTCTGTGCCTCTGACTCCAACAAGCAGGCTTCAAACCCCCTGAGCTCCATGCTGGGCATGAGCCCATGGAAGCATTCCTGCAGCATCCTGGGGGCCAGGTGGGCTCCTCCAGGAGCAAACATTTCCCTGTGACACACTGCCATTGATATAGTGCTGCTGGGGTTTGTGCTTCCCTCAGCACCCTCCTGCAACAGCAAACAGCTGCACAGCTCTAAGAAGAGTGAAATATCATCTGTCATCACGCTGACCTTTCAGTGCCTGCCCTCCTTCCTGAATTAAATCATGCTCTGCAATTTTGTCCAAATTCTTTTGGGAAACGTTTCTGTTTCTAAGCCAGTTCACAAGTTCACTTCCCACACTGGGACAGGGGATCATATCCTGTGATGGCAGTACCATGAAATAGAGAAAATTTTCAAACCTCTTTGTCCTTTTCTATGCCCAAACAGGGGGGAAACACCAGCTGTGCTGTGCAAACTGATTTCCATGAAGCCATACTGGCTTCTACCACTGGATAGTTTGGCTCCTCTCTCCTTTCTGAGTGCACAAATTTGATGTGTCCAGGTAAGGCTTCCTCCCTCTTGGCTAAATAAGCCAAAGCTCTGCTCAGACATCTCTCACTGTTTGCCTGTTTATACTGTTCTTCATTAGAAATGTGATTTTATGAACTGCTGTGGCATGGACAGGAGAAGGTACATTCAAATGAGTATTACCTGCTCTCCTAATTATGCAGAAGATCCACTTATGCACTATTATGATTTTTAAAATCGTGAAGTCTAGGCATATTATGCCTAGAGTTGGTCTCAAGGAAATACCTGGAGACAAGAAGAAATTTATGATATGATATTATGGGTGTTAAAAGAGTGTTATTTGTATGAAGCCACTCAGTTTGCACTCTGTATCATAAACAATGATGAAGAAAGAAACACCCAGAGGAAGGGCTACATAAATAAAAAGTTAATATTTCATACAGATTTACTTTACTAAGCTACAGATTCATTTTACATGTTAAAAACAACTGTTCTGCTATATATTAAAGAAACACAACACAACAACCACACCAACAAGAAAACCCAAACCCCACAGCTCTCCAAGGCCAAGCATTAGTTACCTTCCTAGAATCACTCTTGAATCCAGATCACAAGCTGATTTGGAGAGAATTCTTCCCTGAAGATTCTGCTTTATTGTTAAGTTGCTGTCCAAAACACACTCCTGAGTCTGCTCCTGGGCAGCACTGGGTGCTTCAGTGAGAAGGACAAATCGCTTTGGAGGTGGTGGGACTGTGCTGGTGTGCACAGGTCTGTTTGTTCCACTAGACTGGCCCAAAAGAGTTTTCTTTCTGGCAAAAATACAAAAAAATATTCAGAACTAGAGAGAGTCTGCAACAGCAAGTAGCATTTTAGGAAGAGAATCACTGAAGGTGCAAACAGGAAGAAGCCATCCCATTCCACACAAGCACCTCAAAAAACAATCCAGAAGCCCCCTCCATTTCCCAGTATCTTATCACAAAGCAAAGAAAGCACTCAAAAATACAGAGGTGAAAAAAAATGAAATCTCAGATGGGTTTTTCCTACCTGGATCATCACAAGTGGTGTGCTCAGCACAGGGGGAGAGACAAGGAGGCAGGCACAGGGCAGCATCCTCTTCATCACAGGGAATGGCCCCCAGCACTCAGCCTGCAGGGAGGACACAGGCTCAGGGTAGAGGCAGGAAGGCAATTTAGCAGGATAAAGCTAGGATCAGCCAAGTGTGAGCACAGACAAGGGTGTGCACGGACTCTGGGCTGGCACCTGAGCCTAGCTGCAGCTCCTGAGCCCCCGGAGCCAGGGCCCAGCTCAGCAGCAGCTGCTCCAGGCTGCAGATGCTCCTCAGCACACCTGGCCTGGGAACAGCCTGAGCCCGGGGTGGGGAGCAGATTGTGGCTTCTCTCAAACATTAATGCAGCCATGGAGAAAACACAGGATCTGACACAGAGCTCACTGAGGAAGACAAAAGGGGACACAAGCTGGTGGAAGTCAGAGAAACCAGCATGAAGTGTTTTGATCCTGAAAAGGAAGAAAATCCAACTCCTTCCTACTCCCTTGGGAGCCAGGCTTCTGAGGAGAGATGAGAAAGTGAGTTTTATCCACATAAACCTTTTTGCCTATTTTCTCTGTCTTACAGAAAGCTGCCAGCAGCAGTGGGGAGGCTGCATTGTGCCCAGATGAGCAGAGTCAATCCTCACACGTGCTGACAGCCCCTCAAGGGAAAACACAGGATTTTACCTGATCCATACAGTCCTTTCCTGTCCCTCTTTCCCCTGCCAGGACTCCAAAGCCCCCCAATGCTACTGCAAATCAAAACCCAGCCCATCCTCAGTCTGTCTCCAGCAGCAGCTCCACTTGGCAGGAGCCAGGGGAGCATCCAGGAAACAGAAGTGTGTGACACATCTGTACCTCACTCAGGAGCTGGGCTGATTCCATGTGAAGATCCTGCACAGGGTTTGTAGAGGATTCAGAAAAGGAACAGATGTTCAAAATGAGATCAGTTGTTAGGAGTCACACAGTTCTTTCTTAGCCTCAACAGGTAGCCATCTGTAACACCTTTTTCTGGTTATCTTATAATGGTCTAGAAACACACACTGGTCGTGTTACAAAAATATTAAACACTTATTTCTCATTGATTGACTTATTATAAATTGAAATCCTCCATAAAAAGGGACTTTGTTCTTATTCAAATCCACAACTTTGATTTACACTTTTCAACCTTTACGCTTTTTCAACCACTGCTCATTTTAGTAAAAGGGACATTAACTATTTTGCTTCATTTCTTTTGCTCCTTGAGGAGCATTCAGCTACATCCTTCTTCCTTCCTGTGCAGCAGAGCAGAGCAGGATAGAGCACAGCACATTAGGGATGGCACTTAGTGAGGGAATTGTTCTTTCTCCCTGCCCTCTTCACAGGGAGAAAACAGCTGGTCCCAGAGGCCTGTGTTGGGAGACAGCTGGAAAAGGCAGGCTGCAGACAAGGGCAAGAATCTGCTGAAAAGGTAATGAAGTCCAGGGCTGTGCCTTGCAGGCTGCAAAGTCTGCACTCAGTTGGGATCTGGGAGCAGGTGGAGGCAGCTGAAACCCTCCACGTGAGTAGAAGCACAGGGAGCAGCAGATCCTGGTGGCTTCTAGTGCCTCAGAGCCTCTGTATTTTCTGGAGGACTGGGGAGGCTGAAATCACTGCTATTCCATGAGAATGGGCAAGGACCACTCTCAGTATTCCTGATGATAGTGTGTGTGAAATACCCTCCCTCATCCTCTGCACTTAATGTCTACCCTGCTAGCCTGGCACCTGATTAAACAATAATTTTCCTGCTCAGCCAAGATTGGGATGTCACACCAAGGTGGCTTCCTTTGTCACCATTTACAGTAGAGAGACTTGTATAATAGAATTCCTCTTCAGAAGCCTAGATCTGACTGCTCCTGAGTGGAATTTTTGGACAAAAGCTCTTTCAATCACTTTCATCCCAGCCTTTTTACATTCTCTCCAATCTACCTTTTAAAAATCCAATATTTCTGTGGTGCTGCCTTTGAACATTTCCTCCTAAGTACCTCAAACAAATCCAATGGCATAATGACCATTTTCTCTCAGATGAAGACTCTATCTTTTGTCACTTCATGTTCGTTTCCAGCCACGACAACTTCTGATCTTATTGATTGCTTAAGAAAAAGCAGGAAGAAAACAGTCCTGAAATAACCACCAGAATAATTCGTCCTTCCCCACTCATTCTGTAACTCTTCATCTTAGTCAATAGTAGAGTCATTAAAACCCTCCCATGATGACTGTCCTTGACTCTTTATGAGCTGCAGGAACACTGCACGCTCTGCTCTCACTTGTCATCTTGCAGCTCTGTTACAGGCTCTTCCTTATTTCTTTCCATCCTTTTTATTCTTCCCTTGCAGTTCTCTTTATTAGAGCAGCCAAGTCTGCTTTCACTTTCACTGCAGACCTGCTCCCACCAAACCTTCACTCTGTTTGCTCTTTGTGAGAGTGATGTATGCAAGTCTGTAATTTTAGGTTAATAATTACAGTTCTTAATTATTTCCTAGTCTAGAAAATCAGACTTTATTTTCTTATCTTCAGATATTTAGTTAAAATTGCTTTAATAATGAAATCCCCTTTTCATTTGTATTCTGTTTCTTCTGCACTCTCATTAGTGATTCATACTTTAGGAATCAGGAGTGATTAATGTCTACCTACACCACATAATGCTGTTAAGGAACAATGCTGTAATTCAGAAGCTTTGGAGGCTCCCCTCACTCCATGTCCCACATGTTAACCTGCACTGAAACTAATCTGCTTCATCCAAGCTCAGGAGGCAGAAGGATATGTTCCAAAACCCCACTGGAAATGATGTGAAGTTACTAGAGGAAATATCACGAAACAAAAATTAAAAAGAAGAGCAGACACAGGGTGAGATTTAACGGTAAAGCTGGCAGGCAGCACCTAAAGCTTTTGTCTGGCTTTTAGTCTGGTTGAGCTGGTGCCTCTTTGCATGGTGTGTAACAGATATAAAGTGGAAGGGAGCAAACAGATATAAACTGGAAGGGAGCAGAACAGATATAAACTGGAAGGGAGCAGAACAGATATAAAGTGGAAGGGAGCAGGGAATGCTGTGAAACACTGAGGACACGGCTGGGAGCTCCTTATCTGTCAGAGCAGTGCCCCATCTCAGCACAGCATCCTGCAGCAGGCAGGGACCAGCCTCTCCCAGCTGAATCTGAGACACACAGAAGTGGCCACAATGAGCTTTGTTGGCTCTTCAAGGTTATTTTGATGATGCTTTTTCCTCCTTTGACCTTGGGATTGAATTCTAAGACCTTGTAATGCAATTCACAGATGCAGGCCCTCAAATGGAGCATCAGCACGTTTAAGTCTGTGCTGCTGAGGAATTTTCTGGATTACCTCCAACTCTGAAAAAGTCAGGCACATTCAGCTTTTCCCCAAGTAGGGGACTTGCCCTACTGCTGCAAAACCAGCTTTAATCCCAAACCCTCTGAACTTGCACAGGTGCCTCTGAGTGCTGAATCTACTGCTCTGACCAATCTGATTTGATAAACCCTTATGATCTGACAAATGTGACAGACAGGAGCACTGAATCCAGCGGGGCACTTTGGGTGGGGTGAGGGTGGCCAGGTCGGGGGCTGATTTTGCTGCACTACTTCTATTAAAGCTTGGCTGTGAGGAAGGAGGGACAAGGTTATTGCATACATATCCAGGCAGCCAAACACACTGCAGGTGTTGGGAGCTACACTGCCCACAGCTGTGTCTGAGCAGTTTGAGATTCCACAGCACTTGCTTTGCTGATTGTATTATTTATTTCTACTGATTGCCATCCTGAGAAAACTTATCTCCTCACTTTTCCACACCAGTAGAAGCACTCTCCTCTCTCCATGAACCCCAGACTGTAAATAAACCTTCCATAAGCAAACACCAAGCTCAAGAGTTTTCCAGAGACCCTTCCTGATGAGAGCCTGTCCACATGGAGGGTGGGAGAAGGCAGGAGGTAAATCCAGTGTTGCTTTGAAATATGCACTGAAGAAATTGACCTTGATTTGCAAAACAGTGCTGGTGATAGCTGGTAAAAATTGGGAGTTGATGTTTACTTTGTTAAGGATTTGCAGAGCCAAGAAACAAAAGCAGATTGGTAATGGCTGAGAACACTGATCACAGTGGGAGTATTGCCTCACTCTTTTGGCTCTTCAGGCAATAAGTAATGACTAAGCCCTTTGCTCAGGAGACATTTGATTCAGTTTTTATTAATTTAATTTTCTGAAAATTAAGAAAAGGATTAATTTCTTACTTAGTTTTTCTATTAGCTTCCATGGGAGTTGGCATCCTACTGTTTTACTGGAGTAGGGAAGACAAGTGTCCTCAAGATCTACTGTTGCGTATTAACTGGTGACTTAAAGTGTCCCATATCACCTCCCAAAAAAAGGAAGAGAAATGACACGTTGAAGGATTGCCTTGGTGCCTCCTTAAAAGTGCAGCTAGGTAGGAGATGACAGCTTGATTAGCATCCCCTGAGGGTCTGTGAATAGGCACACAGTTCCTCAGACAGCTGATGAGCCAAGTTGGAGTGTCATCACACTGAGAAGCATCCTACCCTCACAGCTCAAGTGGGTGAAGGGGATTCATTGAGACGATGGCTCATTTACAGCATCTGCCTGTCCTCACTCCTCCCCTCCCATCCCGAGCAGCCAGGGAGGTCTGCTGCAATCCTGAGATGTTCTCCTGCATGGCACAGGCCTTGTCTGGAGCACTCCATACCTTGGAACACAACAGGTAGTTTCAGTCTTCAATGTACCAGCAGTCAAGAGCCCAAGCACAAAAGGGATTTTTTTTCCCTGCCCTGGATATTAGTTATCACTACTGCTAAATAATTGTCTAAAAAATAAACTAATATAAAATAAATAATAAAATAAATAAAATAAATAAAATAAAATAATATAAATAAATAAAAAAGCTATTTTTAACTTAAAAATATTTGACATGTCCAGCTAAATTTACTGAATTTGGGGTCATCTTCTACATTTTCTGTGTGAAACTGAGTCTGTTATCAAGACTGGATCCTCACCTGGCCACTCACGAAGGATCATCATGCTCCTTTTTCTCTTTTTATTTAAACCTCCATTTTGCA